CAATCTTCTGATACTTTGGTATCCATTTTGCCCTCTAGGCAAGCGGCTTCCCAGAAGCATTCAGAGAAAGCAGCTCCAGGCAGGATCTGCTCCGCTATATTTGTTAGAAGTGCAAGAAATCGGTTTGCAAGAAACTGTTGTAATACTTATAAATGGAAATCATTCTGTAATGAGCTTCTCTCCTCAGAGGGAAAACTCCTAAACACTGAAGCCAAGGCTCTGCACCATAAAAGACAAGGAAGAGAAAGAGCCTTCCATGTGTCCTTCTTTTTCCGACTGTTGTAAATTACCAGAGATAGTTGAGAAGGACTGCATCCTCCACAGAGTGCAGCCTGGCTCTGATGTGTGTTTCTGTGTGCTGAGGCAACTCAGATTACATAATGCAATAATAGGAGTGAATTGCCATAGACAATGCCATGGAAAGTGAGTTCAGGGGTGTTAGTATGATACCCTGGTTCTGCTTTATTCTTCATTGTTATAAAAACTCACTCTCTCCACAAGAATCTCTCAGTTTCTTTCTGAGTCCTGAGGATGAGGAAGGCCTCCAACCAATGTGCTTTCCCATTTTATTGGGCCTGATCAGTTCCCTGCCATGCACTGTTCATGTATCAGATCAAGAAAACCATTGAAGTTAAAATCCTACATGTTCTGTGCTACAGGCTTGCCTTTCCCTTGTGTTAAAGAGTATCCACTTTAATGGCAGATACCAGCAGGATTCAGAGACCAGGAATAGAAGGGAAGACACTGAAATAGTCCTCATTTTCCACCTTACCAGAAACACTCTACAAGTTTATGCTACCTCCAGTCATAGACACTGGAAAAGCATATGACCCCTCATCAAGAAATATAAGGTAGATTAAAAATGGTAACATTATTTTGACCAATCTGTTGTTGACTACTTGATAATCAAGGCAGACATACTTTTTTTTTTTTTTTGACCTTCTGTATTTTCACTTTTTAAAACTATTCCCTGGAAACTACGTACATTTGTATACAAGTGACAGCTAAAAATCAACTGTACTTTAATAACTTATCCAGATAGGTTTTCATCTGGTATATCTCATGGGTGCTGTTGTTTTCATACAACTCTCCTAATACATTATTTTGCGTTTAATATTTTAGGATATTTTAAATGCAGAGAAAGCTTGGTGTTTATAATGCATTGCACTGGACAAGCAGTTTTTAGCAGCAGTACTTTCAAGTGGCTGCCTGCCTAAAATTTATTGAGGGAATAGAAAATACTCCATGTGGTAAGCATATTTAAAGCAAAGTTGATTCAGTTCTTGTAGCATTTAAAGTGTTTTGCTAAGAACTGTAACTGATGTCCATACATTTCACCTGCAAGTATCTATGGGAAGCCATGGCAGAACTGAAATATAGGAGAGGCAAAGGAGATTGAAATAAAAAGAAGACCATTTTACATGTTTTCACTCCTTTGTCCTGAATTTCATACACTCATATGGATGTCATTCTGGAAGAAAACTTGCTCCGTATCCACCTAATCCAGCTCTTCCACTGAGCAAACCTCGGCAGAGGTGAAGTACAGTATTCTGTGGAGGGTCTCATCAGCTGTAGGGGAATAATAGCAGCAGACAACTGGCTCTTAGCAAGTCATTAATAATTTCAAGTCTCCAGGAGCTCAGCTGCGCCTCCTTGGTCCTGTGTTACATATTCCACCTGGGAGGTAACCCTGGAAATGTAGAGAACACCAGTTCAGAGCCACACTACAACCTCTCTGCTGGTTCCTTGATTGCGCCACCCTGCAGAGTCACTGGGTTGTCAGCATCTGGGCTCACACTGGGAGGCTGCACTGCTGGTCTGACCGCAGACCTGTCCTCCTAAGAGTTCATCCAACTACCTTAGAGCTCATCTACTTCCACCTGGAGCTGCCCAGCCACTGTTCTCTCTCCCTTGGAGCTGACTGTGTAGCAGTAGGTTCGTCGCAGGCAGCACATGTGGGCTCTGGCCCTGGATCAGCTGAGTTCAGGACAGATTTAGTCTGCCTTTTGCTGAGAGGGTGCACATCTAAATCTGTTCTTCCAAAGATTACAGAACTTCAGGCACTGAGCTGTTTGGTGCACTTTCTTTGAGATCTGTGGTTTGGTTGCCAGTAACTTTAATAGAGCTGGAATATAAATCATACTGAATGTAAAACATTTGGGCTTCAGTGTCTCGGGCAGATATCCATGTAGAGAGAAGGGTAATTAAATCCTCTTGCATTTTAAACCTTACAGAATAAGGCTCTGGCTGACGTCTTGCACATGTGGGAATTTTCTCTGGTGAAAAACTGTTCAGGTTGCCAGTACTGTGGATAAATAAAAGGCTTAACAATTAAGAAAGAAGAAAAACAAAGATAATACACCTGTCAAACTTTTTGTATTATTAATGCACAAATGAAAAACTGTGATGCTTGTGCATGCTGTTGCCCTTAGTACCAGCTGTTGCCTGTGCACATGGGCTGGTATTTCACATGGCTGAACAGCCCTGCTGCCAGCAAGCACTCAAACAGGCAGCATCAATAACAGCAGTCTTCTCACACTCCATACAATTTAAGCTATTCTTCAAATTAATAATAATACTTAATAAAGCTTCATCTCTCATTTGCAAAGAAAACCATCAATTAATGTTAATCAGCATCCTCAGAATGTGATCAGGCTGGGCTTGTAGCTGGACGTGCCGAAACAGTTCAACTGGCAGATGGAGCGTTTTCCAACTATCCTAATTAATGACTGCTCATTTCAAATGTTAATGCAATTAAATAAATAGGCAAAACAAATAAAAATAATATACAGTATGAAACTACCACTATCAGAGAGATTTCTGATCAAAAAGTCACCCTCAGTCAAATGCAGAAAGGGCCCAACCATCTGCTCCTGGCTAAATAAGTTCTGAAAGAGCTGGGACTAGCTTTTGTTACTTATTTCCAACCATTTCTCTGGGAATGACATTTATATCACTTCCATTTTAACCTCCTGGCATCGACTGAGGAATTGCTTCTGTAAGTGTTAGAACATTTTCCTGCAGAAAATGAGAAGGGATTCCTTTCACATATTATGGGCTTTTTTGGTGTAAGATTTAGACTTGCCTTGCTTCTTGTCTTTTCTATTTGAAATAATTGCCTGCATTTTTTTAGGAGTTTTATTTTCTGTGAACATTGTATACCATAGCACTGATGTAGGACTGCATTTGTTTGGGCTTATAAAGAGTTCAATTAGCCCCTTAATGCCTAGTTCAGTCACAATTAAACCTTCCCTGTTGACTCAGGATTGGTCTTTCTAAAGGCAGTGGAGGTGGTTTTAATTATTCATTCTCTGGTTTGTTTCTTACAGCAGTCTCAGCTGTGCTTTATTATTCAAAGGTTAATGCAAACTGAGAACTGGGTAAATTAAATTTGTTTGGCAGCTAGCAACCTGATGTATTATCGACACTGTGAAATATGGATGGCAACACTTCTGCTATTGTGCCACTTAAAAAGCCAGATTTCATCTTTAAAACAATTGCTACTTTTGTTACTATGGCTGATAGAAAATGAATGCTCCATAATGTTATAGTCTCTGTAACCCATTATTGTTGAGAAAGCAAGGTGGTTTAGAAAGCCAAGAAGCATTAACAGCTATTATAGAAAATGGATGTAGGTACCGTGACTAATGAAGTGCTCTGCACAGGACTGAGTCGTGCAGCTGTATTCAGGGAATTGTGCAGGCAGGAGTTTTAATGAAGGGAGCCCAAGGAATTGCAGGTGAAAGCAGGTTTTATTAACTTCCAGTGAACAAAACGAATAGTTGAGCAGTGAACGTGACATGATGTCATATAATAATTGTATACCTTGGGTACATTGTGAGGCATGGAGCATAGCCAAGAGCTTTCAGCTGTTCTACACACTGAGTGATTCCACAAACCCCTGTACGCTGCAGAAACCTTCACTGCAAACATAACAAGAATTGTTTCACAAGAAATGCCTTAAGACAATACCACATCACTTTTTTTGAGACATCTACCAGCACTGCCTTCCTCTAAAAAATATGAATCGTATATCTGGATGTTACCATTCCAGTTGATCCTAATTAAAATTTGCATCCTGTAATCAGCAGTCTGTGAATGGAAAAGAAGTCTTCATATGCTTTAAGAGGTCATCCTGAGTAAAATACATATTTGTATGGACAGGCATTATGTTGTATGGAAGGAGGCTATGTTGGGTTTTAGAAGAATCATGCCCAAGAACTTTTATTAGTTAGTATTTTATTTCATCTTTTTTCAGGAATTCACCATACGGGTGAGAGATTTTTCTTGTTTCATCCAGGATTACGTTTTGTACATTTTGAATATTATTTCAGTACTGTGTTTTAAGCCAAGGACTTTGAATTAACATAATCCAACACTTCCTGTTGTATTTAACATAATTAACATAACCCACTTCCTGTTTATATCATTTTTAAGGTAGGACAATGATTGCAGAGCAAAGAAGCCTTCTGTGGTAGTGACTTAGGTTAGGTAGAGACCTTAGATTAGGAACACGTGCAGCTGCAAGGTTGGTTGTACCCTGCTCAGTCTTTAGTACAGTCTGTGCTGTGTAATGTGTGTAATTACGCTGCTACTGACTGAGGAGGTAGGTGGATGAGGAGGTAGGTGAAAATAGGATGGCTTGTGAAGCAAGACAGTGACAAGACATCTCAGCAAAGTCTCTATATCCTTGCGCTGTAAATACTTCACATCTGCCCACTAAAATATTTGAGATAAGACAGTTGGGAATTTTTCTGTGCTTATTTGAATAATTTATGATGTGATTTTAATACTTCTTCCTGAAGTATATAATACTGAATATATCACTTCTCTGACAGAGCTTAGGACATCAGATGCATGTTCTATCTATCTTAATGAATGTGATACACAATTTTAGTTTCTCGTGTTACAGCAAAACCAGCGGTACTACTGGTAGAGTATAACTGATGCAGTATATCCTTGATTGTATGTGGTTATTATATTTTTGTTTTCTATTTTAGTGCTGGACCCAAAGGAGACAACATTTATGAATGGAGGTCAACTATACTGGGACCTCCAGGGTCTGTATATGAAGGTGGAGTTTTCTTCCTTGACATAACCTTTTCACCGGACTATCCTTTTAAACCACCCAAGGTTAGTAGAAGGATATTCAAAGTCTGATAGGAGTCTTCTCCTGCTGATATTTTTTAATGTGTGTGTTGGTATATCATTATAGGATGAAACATAAAACTTTCAAAGCAATAATGAATTTTTTAAACTTGACTCTTTTGATAGAAAGAATTTAAATAACTGGCTACAATTTGCTTGCATGCTGCCAGTGTAGCTGAATGCATATGGATTTATTTAGAAAAAAGTTGCATAATTTCCAGTAGCTATTTTTTTTAATTTGGATTTCTTTCTAATATGAAAGTGCTTATATTTGAGTTGCACCCTTTAGAAGTAGCTGAAGATACTTAATCTTTCCTGTTAGCCCATATAATTCACCAGGCTTATATGGCTGTCTGAACAAAAGTATGCATCTATTTCACTACCCCATATAGTATCTGCAGGTGCAAGATATTATGAGTAATTGCTTTACATCATTTTTCTGGAAGAATGTGGAAATATGCCACCAAAGTCCAGAAACTGGAGTGACAGAGATCTAGAGAAATCCTTAGGAATTATTTTTATAATGCTGTCTGCAATGATACCAGCCAGAAACAGAGAAAAGTATCAATAACATAAAGGTGACAGATCATTACCATGATTAACTTGAAATGTCAAACATGAAAAATCTAGTGGTTAGGAAGACTGCAAAAAAAAAAAAAAAAGGGGGGAATGTGGCAATACAGAGCGTCATCTCTAACCAGAGGTAATAATTGCTGAGGAGGATCTCAGAATGGGACTTCATTGCTTGATCACAGGATTATTGCAAACCACCTGCGTAACGTATTTATAAAAAAGGCAAACATCCTCCTAAAATGCATCCTCTGGCCTACAGAGAGAAGGAATTACCAGTGTCAGATACAAGATGCTTGGAAGTCCTTATCTGGAAGACGGAGCTCAAATCTTAACACACGTTTGATAGTAGGAACAGAAACCAGGAAAATTTATCCCACAGAGTTGTTAAAAGAATCAAATTAATTGATGGGGCTGTCTTCCATGAAACAAAGTAAAAAGAGATGCATTGTTCATTCACCTTGCCACTCTGGAGAGTGTGTCTGGAAGACCCCCACAGAAGGAGCTGTGAGATCAAAAATATTTACCTTGTTTCTGACACATTTATGAAAGGATGGGTGTGCCATGTTGGTCTATAATAGAAGGATATTGCATTAAAAGAGAGACAAGCCAGTTCCTGTTTGATTACTTTGAGCTTTGAGTAGATTATTGAAGTATAAGTGTCTATACATAGAATTTTAATGCCATGGTAGTAATGTTTACTGCAGTAGATAACATTGATATTACCAGGAAAGGTTTTGTAAAACAAATGAGAGATGTGAATGCAAAGCACTTGTCATTTTGTAAATGGAACTTTCCCAGTAACGTAAAGATGGGTGAGTATAGCAGTATTAGAGATGGTCTAACTTTGTTTCCCACTTTTAGTGTTCCAGTTTAGAGAAGCTTTGATGTCACTGAGAGGTCTTAGAGGAGCTGTACACCTTTCTGACTGTGCAGTTTCAGATTTAGGCAGCTGTTGTTACATGGTGAAAAAGAAATTGAAACTTTATGATGTCTCCTTCAGTTTGTTAAAGCTCTGGGCAAGCTGAGCTGGGGTCAGTCCTGTTCTGTTCTTCCCCCATCCTGTTTTTCCTACCTCCTCCCAGTCCAGCCCACTGTCTGGATAAAGTCTGTTTTAACAAGCCTAATTTATTTACTTTTTTCTTGGGCTTATTCTGTTGGTGCTAGCTGCCATGCAAGGGTTACATTCAGTCCCTCCAAGAAGTTAAAATTATAAGTTTTAGGGAATAAAATGGCTTTATGGCATATAAAATAGAGCTTGAAGTTCTCTCAGAGAGCTAATACGTAAGAACTAGCTCTGAAAGACAAGTTACAGGGAGGTCTTTTGTCATTCTCTCTTTTGAATCTGTTGAGTCTTGAGGCAGTGTATTCAGCAGACACCCTTTTAAAATATAAGTTGAAGGTCCAGTTTGCTATTTCACCACAAGGTAAAGCCTTTTTCAATCTGCACTCAGTTGTGCTCAGCAACTATGTTATTTTGAGACATGAGTAATGCAGCTGTGCATTGCTTATTAATGAAATGTCAAGCAAAGGAGTGGCTCTTGTCCTGCTTCGTAATAGATTTGATTGTCTGCCTTTATCTCGATGCCAGTTGTCACTGTAAGAAATGTGTGCATATAAATCATATGAAAATGTACTGCTTGATAAAGGGTAAGAGAATTGATGATGCCATATTGTCTTAGTAAACAGCCAGTTTTATGTTGAGGGGAATTGTCATCTGTAAGAAAGTAATGGGTGTGTGTGCACAGGGGACTAATGTCAGATATAACTGTGTCATAAGCATGTGTTGAACACATGGACTCTTACTCTATTTACTTCAGCCACAGTTCTAAATGACCCTTCTAAATGCCACACTAAAAGCCACTTCTAAATGACCCTTCTTTTCAGTCCTGCTGTATGACCTTGCAAACTGTTGCTATGTCATTACACCTGCTTTCCAGCCCTTATGAAACTCATTCATAGGTGAAATAGTTAGGGAAATCCCTTTAATTAAGCAGCATGGGACGATCACTGCTTAAAATAAGGTAGCTGCCTGTCAGCACTTCTGGGAAAGGGTAGTTAAATATGTTCTCCCCAAGCTGATATCTAGCAAAAGAAAGGTAATGAGTGCATGCAATGTAACACATGGCCTCGTGGTGCAGTGCTGCATGTGTGCTGGCATCTCTTCTACTTCTCCACAAGATTCGTGATATTTTGTGCTATTCTCAGAATCATGGATTATAGGGTTATGGGCACAGATTATTTTTGATTTATTTGTAGTTATATTCTATTTTTTTTCTAACTCCTTATGGCTCTATCATCTTAAAAAAACCTAGGGATAAAGTACAAGACTGTGAAACGTACTGAGAAAGACATAAAATGTATCCTGAGTGTTGGCAAGATTACCGCCCTGTAAGAACATAGCAGAAAGGGTCTAATTCACATTTTTCACTATGATTGAATTCATAAATTACTCCTGAGATTTCTGTGGACCATTTTTGTCCCTCATTCACTATGAAGTAAGGAAATATTTAAACAAGTACTGTCAAAATTGATCTTCCAAAAATGTGACCACAAAAAACCTGGGAAGAAACAGAAACTGTACTTCCCAGATGCAATTACTTGACCCAGCCTGGAGTTCCAAAGGCAAATTCCCATGTCACTTAACATATTCACTGTTAAGGGGCCTAATCCAGTGTGTTAAAATCTGCAGAAAGATCCCTTTTCCTTATCTCTTCTCAGATGTTGTGCACTCCATTATCACATCCATGCATGTGTATGTCACACATGGATCTTGAGGAGGGTAAAATAATTTTTGAAGTAAGAAAAATGCATTGCAAATTGATTTTGGATATGTCTTTTATTACCATCATTAAAATACATTTGTGATGTAAACACTGTTCAATTTGTATTATACAAAGTTCTTGATATTTTTGAGGGATCCAGATTGCTTCTATAAACGCTGTTGATGCCTGTTCTGATCGCTGGGCACCCTGTTGCATGCTGGAAAACATTAATTAAATAAACAACAGAGACCACATTTGTACAAGTAAAGATGTTCTATATTTTGGTTTATCTTTTTAACAAATGTACAAAGTAGTTTTCATTTGTTCTTCTAGATAGTTAATCTGCTTCTCTACTTTCCCTTTATCACATAAAAGAAAGTGAATCACTCTTTCATTCAGGTTTTGTTTAACAAAGAAAAAGTATCTATCCAAATTTTTGCTTTTAGGTATTTTTTCACATTTTGCATCTTTGTAGCCTCCAACATTCTTAAGATTTTCAAATTTTATCTCCATTTTCCACATTAATTCTCCTGTGTGATCCAGTTCACATTTCAGGTTTTGTATAGCAACACATCACTGTCCACCAACAAGTCTTTCCCCTATGGATCCATAGTTTTCATTTTGTCTGTCCTTGCCTGTCAGTGATTTTCCAAAGTAAAACCATAACCATAGAATCAAATTTACCATCACAGAATAAACCATGAGGTAAGTTGGAGTATAATTTGCTCTCACACTATTCGTTTCTTCCCCTTTGAAGTCAGTCTGTTTCACTATTTCAGCTTTGTCACATGCCTTGAAACTGGACTCCAAATTTTTTGAGGCAGAGGTCACTGACCTTTTCAGGTCTGCTTTCCTTATAAATCAGTGGCATTTGGCTTCACTCACAACTGCAGCACACTCATGCAGAGGAGGGAGTTGTTCTTCCCCAAAAAAGTTTACCCCTGTGTGACCAATGCTGCTTGGTAGGAGTGATGGAGGGCCAGCGCAGCCTGACTCTGATTTAGCTCTACAACCAGAAAACAAGATCCTTAGAACAGCTCATCTGAGAACTAACAAATTAGCTTTAGCTTTCTGGGAAGCTCTAATCAATTAAAAATATTTCCTTGCCTCCACTGTGAGGAAGCTGCTGTAGCATTGCAGAAATGAGCTGAGCACCTCGTTGGCTGAGTCAGCAAGAAAGCGGGAGGGCTGCACGATCACCGTTCTCCTCTCGGCTGCATCCTCAGTGTCACGTTGGTTTTATGAGATGCCAGACAGAAGGAAGGTATAGAACACACAAAGTGAGGCGTAGATGTGGTGATGAGCTCACTTTCTGCTTAAGGCCAGGTGCTGCTGAGCCTTCAATTTCGGTCACAATGTGGGGTTTCACTTCAGCCCAAAAATACAGCACATCCCTCGTAGCATAAGGAACTGAAAAATAGACAAAGCTGTGCCCTGTTCAGAGCAGAAATGAATACAAATGCTTAGATGACCTGCCAAGGAAATAACCTTGCATTTTTTCAGTGGCTTAATGACCCCCTCAACTTTTTCTAGAAATACTTTCGAGATTTCTTTTTCCTGCTAACTATCTTCCTTTCATCCTTAATGGATTCAGACAGTTCACCCCTTGGCTTTAACAGAGGAAAGGTCTCTCTCTCTCTCTCTCTCTAT